TATCTCCATGGTAGAATTCATCCTCCTCCTCTTGTGTTCTTGGTAGAAACCCTAGATGAGTGGAAGAACTTTCCTAAATTGTGTGTTTCTCTCTCTAATCTCTAGCCTCCCAAGCCTCCTTTACTAAAAAATAGCCCAAAATCCGCATATAGGTAGCTCAAATGTCACACCCAATGGTCAGATCTGTGCACTAGGACCTCCAAATGATTGCACCACGAGTACACCTTTAATTTGGCTTGAGCTCTGTTTTTAACACTCTTGAGGCAGTTCGATCAATCACAAGGTTTCTTGGATCGATTGAAGCATGGTGGTGTACTTTTTGGATAAGGACAAGGCTGAGATATTTTTGGAAAAAGGATAAGATTGGTAGGTGAGGATAAGTTCAAAATGGTTCGATCAATCAAAGGAAAAGTTGGATCGATCGAATAGGAAATTTTCTTGAGGATAAGGACAAAAGCCTCGATCCATCATAACAGGGTTGGAACGATCACAGTGTGATCGATCGTAGCTCGGTTCGATCGATCGAAGAATGCTGCTTCACCACTTTGCTTCTTTCTTCCACTAAGCTTGAGATTACTTCTTTTAGTGCTCTAATTCAGCTGAATTGACTTATTTTGGGGATAAGTACCTGAAAAGGGAAATAACATGAAATTAAATGCGCACTTTTCAGCTCTTATCAGCGGTAGAAGCTGACATAACCTAAGAAAGAGCGAATCTCTCTCACCGTAGAAGGCGGAGGCAATTCGGATATGAGATCAACTTTCGCTTTATCAACTTCAATAACCCTTTTAGATATGACATGGCCCAAAACAATCCCCTCTTAAATCGTGAAATGACTCTTTTCCCAACTAAGAACGAAATTTGTCTCATGACATCTTTTAAGCACGAGTGATAGATTGTGAAGACATGAATTAAAAGAAGACCTGAAGACTGAGAAATCATTCATAAAGACTTCTAAATACTTTTCCAACATGTCCAAAAAAATTGACATCATACACCTTTGGAATGTGGCGGGAGCATTACATAAACCAAATGGCATCCGTCGGTAAGCAAACGTGCTAAAGGGACAAGAGAAGATGGTTTTCTCTTAGTCAAACGGATTAAAAACTATTTGATTGTAACCTGAATAGCCATCTAGAAAGCAATAGTATTGTTGCCCGATTAACCTCTCTAAAATTTGGTCAATGAAAGGCAAAAGGAAATGATCTTTTCTAGTGGCGGCATTCAATTTATGGTAATCAATGCACACACGCCAAGAAGTAGCAGTGTATTTAGAAATTAGATCACCTTTCGAATTTTCAACCACCGTAATTCCTGATTTTTTAAGAACTACTTAGGTTGGACTTACCCATTTACTATCGGAGATTGGATAGATGATTCGCTCATCTAAAAGCTTCACAACCTCATTTTTAACCACTTCCTTCATATTTGGATTTAATCTCCTTTGAGCATCTCTAAAGGGTGGTGTGCTTCTTCCTAAGGTCGTGTTAACACCAACAAGTTGCAATGAAAGTGTGGCCAAGTTTAAATTTATAAAGTGTCACTACTAAGTCTAACTACTAATATAGCTAGGGTGAGTAGGGATTGTCCCAAGGGATTGGGGGCTATGTTAATATGGAAATAAGGTCGGATTAGTAGGTCGAGTGATCAGAAGGTGTTTTGATTGGTTAATTAGACTATAATATAAATAAATTCAATACTAAACAACTAAAGTAAATAAAAGGGTAGAGAACAAAAGAGAGAGAGAGGTCTTGAGATCTAGAGGTCACCACTAAACATCACCATTCTAGACACTCAATGTTTAATGAATGAGGGGAAACATGTGTTGCAATACCAAGAGGTGTGATTAATTGAATCAACAAGTATGGATTGACTAATTAAGCATATAATGTCTAGACAACCTAGTGAATAGCACAATATATCAAACTAAGCCATTATTCCTTCCTTTAAGCTCACAATTAACACACTAACATGTTAGAGAATTATACTACTTGCATTTATAAGTATGGAACATCAAACAACAAGCATGGATTGTCCTCACATCTAAGAAAGTAAAACAACTACACTACTTCTAAGCTAAGGACATGAAAATTAAACTAATAAACTAAGGTAGAGGCACAATCCATCAAGAAATGAGTATGAACCATCAAACAAACCACAAGAGTATTCTAGTTAAGCATTATGCCTTAACAATCTCTAGATTCATAGCATCAATACACATAGACATGCATCAATATCACAAAACCAAGAGATAAACACATGAACATCTACTTTAGTATACATAGACATATGGATAGAATGAAATGATTAATTGGAAGTATTAATCAACATAAATCAATGTAAGAATAAGATTCATATATAAATCAAATGTCAAGACAAGATTACAACACAAATCCCCTCAAAATACAAAACATCAAGGTCTAGATGGCATACTTAGGGCTAACTTTAGCCCCAAGAAGATGTTTAGCCACTTATTGATGTAATCATCCAACCCTCAAGGGCCATCTCCATGGTAGAAATGCTCTTATTCTTTATGGAAACCCTAGAAGAATGGAAGAACTCCCAAAGTAATGTATGTCTCTCTAAGCTCTAGCCTCTTCTCCAAGATATGTGATATATGAGATATGAAGATATATGATGTAAAAATGGCTCAAAATCCTTATATAGGTAGCTCAAGTGTCACATCCAATGGTCAGGTCTCATGCACTAGGGTCCCTTCAATGATTGCACAACGAGCCATCTTTTAATGAGTTGGACTCTATTTTATTTCGGACTTGAGGAGGTTCGATCGATTGAATTCAGATGAGATCCATCGAACTGTGGCCAGATCCATCGAATTAAGGCCATATCAATCAATCCATGGTGGCACCTTTTTGGAATAAGACAAATCTGAGATATTTTTGGGATATTTTGGGAAAAAGACAAAAGTGGTAGGTGGGGATAATATCAAGGAAGTTCGATCGATCTGAAGAAAGTTGGATCGATCGAAGATGGAATTTCTTTGAGGATGAGGATAAGGGGTTTGATCCATCTTGGTGAGGTGAGATCGATCGATGTGAGATCGATCGAAAATATTCCTGATCGATCGAAGATTGCTGATGTCCACCACTTTACTCCATTCCTCCATTCAGCTTGAGATTGCTTCTTTTATGCTCTAATTTGGCTGAATTGACTTATTTTAGGGATAAGCATCTGAAAAAGGGTAATAACATGAAATTAGTGTAAAACGGGAAAGTAAGATAAATAAAGGTCCAAGAATACTCGAGCTTAAAGGGTTAAAATGCGCACTTTTCAGCGCTTATGACACCCCCAAACTTAAATATTGCTAGTCCTTAGTAATGAACTACAAAGTAAAGGAATGAAATGAACGACTATACAAGAATAAACTAGAAAGTAATAAATGGATAATGCCACTTTCGTAGGAAACACGATTGCATTTAGCACATGCGACAAGCCTTTTAAACCCCTAGGTTACCCCTAGTGGACGAGTAAAGTCTCATGAGGGTTTCCAGAAATAATACCCATAAACATTAAAGCTCATTCTCACTAAAGAGGCACCAATATTGCAAACAAGCATTGGAAGAAAACTACCTCAAGTATGCAATTTTTCAATCATTTTCAAGCAATCCCCTAAAATTTCAACATCAAACAAACAAGTATGGTCCTCCACACATCAAGAAAATAATCATGCAAATCAAAACAACTCTAGAATCCTTTTTGAGTGGACCGGCATCAAATATGTTGCTATCTAAGCCAATTAAAGAAATGATCACATCCTTACCCTCAAACTAGCACACAAATCTAGTCCCGATCATTAAAATAAAGAGTGGACCTTTTATTAAAGCTTTATTCATCTAGGTGCGCTTATTCTTTTCTCTCGATTTTTTTTTTTTTTTACTAACCTAGAGGATCAAAGATGGAAGCATGATGCAATGTGTTGATCTATTAAGCTTTTTAGCGATCCATGAGGTCGAGTGTTAGGTCAATGACTCCCAAACTAGATGGCTTTAGGGCATTAGGTATTCAAACACCCCTAAAGAGTTACAAGCTCAAATCAACTAGGTTACAAATCAAAACAACCTCCATCTAATTATTTCCCACTTCTCACCTTTTGGGAGAAGTCCTTACTTTTTTATTACTTTTTTTATTATTATTATTTTTTATTATTTTTTTTTTAAGCATTCAATTATTAACCTAGAGTTTGAGCCTTCCACTTTTCGGGGTGAGAAATTTAGTATTTGATGAGGCTAGAATCTCGACTACAACAATGAAAAGGGTTTGTTATCCACCTTTATTAAGAATGAAAACTTTCAATGTACTACTAGCCCAATTGGGATATAACCAATTCAATAATCAACAAAGCATGTACCCCACAATTGAATACTATTGTGCGCCTGTGCTAGTGTAGAATCCTAGAGTGAATCTCAAAATAATCACAAAATCAGGATGATGTGGACCACAAATGCAAGCATGATATTAATTTTTTGAAAAATTTACTCCTAAATGGCATCTATAAGGCATACAAGGAGTATTGAACTCTTAAGTCAATCAATTTTTAAATTTTAAGCAATATACTCCTCAAGAGATCAAAATCATAGCTAGTCATGGACCAATCATAGAAAATCCCTCAAATACACAAGTCATGCTCAAAATTTTGAATTGAAAGCAAACACTGTAAATAACACCCATTACCCCCAAACTTAAACAACACAGTGTCCTCAATGTGCAAAGAGAACAAAGGAAAGAGTATACTAGTACAGCTAAGGCAAAGAATGGCTGGGACATAAGTATCCGAAGTTGGTGGTACAACTCCCCCCAAACTTGGTATTAACTGTGGTCCTAAAAAGATAGCACCGAGAGAAAAGCTAATCAGATAACAAAGGGGATAATAATAGTGCACAGTGGATATGTAAGTGTAAATGGGATAATAAATGAACTAAGGAGAAAGGAAAAATGATGGTCTTGAAGAATTTTGGGCAACACTCTCTCACTGAAGTTACTGGAATGTACCTGATAATAGAGTCAAGAACAGATAGATGTATCAATATAAGAATGTGACATCCAAACATAACATGCATAAAAAGAGAAAAATAATGTACAGTACATCACATTATCAGGCCCAATAGACTGGCTGCCAAAATATCATAATAGTATAAAAAATAGCAGGTATCACAGATATATATAGAAAGATAAAAGAGAGGTATAAAGATCAGGTAGAGGTAGTAGGACGAGTGGGGCATGATCCCCAAATATCTTTGGATAAATCCTGCAGTGCAACCAAGATAAGTAGAGAGTAGTCACATCAGTGCTGAGGGAGGCCACATATGACCGAAGAGAGACAACTGCATCCTCCAAAGTCTATATACGTTTTCCTAGGCCAGGTGTCAGAACTGGAGCATCAGGGATAACTGGATCATGAAACTAAGGTATATCCTGACCCTGCTCCTGAGAATGCAATGGCGACCCTGCCGGAGAGTGATGTGGTGACTCTTTTGGAGGCTTTCACTTTAGATCTATGTCCATATGCTCGTTCGCAGTCGCCGGTGGGTCTGTTGGATCATCTACTGCTGCCTGCGCTACTATCTCTGCCTCTGCAGCCTCCTCTGCTGCCAAGATGGCCTCCTTCTCTAAGCTCTTGATAAGAGCATTGTAGCTCTTGTTCCAATCCTTCTTGCCATAGTGGCAAGCCCCTGACTCAGTATGCTCCGTTGGATGGAAAAGGTAGTGCTAATCTCAGAGGATCTGAGTAATAAGATGTCCGAAAGGGAGGAAAGTGGCTCGGCCAGGCTTGGCCTTGCTGATGTAGCTCGCATGTAATCTCATCATAACACTCCAAATGAGTGTAGGAACAGAGAACTAATGGCTTGTATAGAAGGCGTAGAGAGTAGCTAGAAAATTTAAGCGCTGCTGGATCTTATGGCCCGCCATAAATACGTTTCGGTACAAGACCGAATCGAAGAACCATAAATCGTCGGGCAGATAAGTCCAAGTGGCTAATGTCTCACCATCACTGTAACGGCTAGTCAGTGCAACAGCTATATCTGCGTCAGATGGCCACCTGAGAATAGGATAATAAAGGCCGGGAGGACAGACATGTAGGCATCGAGAAGATGTAGCCAATGACTCAACAGTAATGCGGATGAAATGGCCATCAATAGTAATCCGCTGCTCCGATAAGTTACTTGGGGCCGGCCGGAGGTTCTGGAAGAATAACCAGACGAGCCTTGGGTAAACTAGATAAGTGATTGGAGCAAAAATGGCTTAAATGCCCCACCGCTCAATATCATCAAAGGCCGCTCGGGTCAGAATTAACCGGGAAAAGAAGGAAATGTCAAAGATTGACTCATGTGCCACCTGAAGGCATGTATATCTCCTGCTAGGTCTGTCTCGGATCTGGCCTGGCATTGTTGGTGGTGGTGAAGGAGGTAGTACATGCTCAGCCTTATCAGAAGAAGATGATGCAAAAGCAGAAGACTGTAGTCTGGTATTGGCTGATGAGGACTGAGCTATAGCTGGCTCTAGAGCTGGGTCTTGAGCATGGGAAGGCTCTGCGGGCTCTTTTATACGCTGTCGCACTCTGCGCTCATACTGCCTACGGGCGACAATCTTTACTCGAGCCATGGCCTGCAAAAAGAAAAGAAAACTTACAGATGAAGTCAGTGCAGGACTAAAGAATTGAAGTATAATATATAAAAACATATATGTCAAGTAAGAAAGATAACTCAGAATAATTGACATGAATCTATGCAAGTTGAAATGCAGTAAGGTATAGACAATGAATAAGTGAAACATGCTAAATATGACAGAATAAAATGCACCCATTGTGGAAAACACATGTATTGGGCAAATATAAGATAGAATGGAACACAAAAGATGGCATATTAAGTGGATATGCAAATCTGTGATGTTCGATCGATCATGAAAAGATGAGATCGGTCTAAGTTAGATCAATCAGAAATTGAGTGAGATCGATCTTTCTCTGATCAATCAGAGAAAAACGTGATCAATCGAACTTTGCAAAAATACGAAAAGTCACAGATCTGTGACGTGGACAACACGGGGGGCACCCAAGCAAGCTTGTGGGTCTCTCTACACTTCAACACATCAAGATTGGTCACTTATATAGTCACGTGACCCCCGAAACCAAAATTGGAATCAAATATATACATATATATATATATATATATATATATATATATCTACATATATATCACATGCTTTGTGACTTCAAAAATAAGTAGAAACCAAACATGGAAACTCAGATCTAACATGGAAAACACGGAAGAATCAAGATTGAAGCTTAAAGTTGAAAATAAAACTTAGAACTTACCAAACCGAATGAGAGAAGTGGAGATGAAGATATGAAGTGAAATCGGAGGCGAGAGATGGAGTTTGAAGACTTAGGATGGTCGCCGGACGTTCGCCGGAGGTGGGAGAGATGATGGGCAGTGGTGGAAGAAGCTAGGGTCTGAGATCGATCTTGAAATCGATCCAAATGACCTTTGGCTTCTATTTTTAAAAACTATTTCCGACGAGTTTGATCGATCACTAAGAAATCAGATCGATCGAACGTAGATCGATCGAACGTAGATCGATCAGGAAGAAACTCAGATCGATCGAATCCACAAAACGACACAATATTTTTTAAAATTTTTGAATTTTTGAAAATGAAACAAATTTCAAAATTAAAAATATTTTTGGAGTTTTTGGAAATTAAAACAAAATGTTTTTGGATTTTTGGAAAATAAATAATAATAAAAAAATAAAAAATATATATATATTTTTGGATTTTTGAATATATATATTTATATATTTATAAAAATAATTAAATTAAATTAAAAACAAAATTCAAAAAGAAGTCAAAGTTAATAGGAAGCAATGAGATCGATTGAATATAGATCGATCAAAGTTCGATTGATTCAACAGGTGAAAACCTGCAAACAAGTTCGATCGATGCACAGAGAGGTGATTTTTCATGGGTTCAAAATTTTTTCTAAGTATGGAATGAAGATCGGTCTGAGGAAAATCTCGATTGATCTTGGAACACTCAGAACGATCAGAGATGAAGTTCGCACGATACACAGAGAGGTGAAATATGCAGGAAAATTACGCACGATGGGATAGAGAGATGATTGATGCAGGGTTGGTAGTTTGATCGATCGAACCTCTTTCAAGATCGATCGAATAGGCACAAAATGCTTAATTTTAAAATGGCAGTGCATGCATTCTCAACCAAAGTCCCTAGTAATGTGTATGAACCCAGAATATAACTAGATGACGCAATAAATGAAAGTTAAAATAGAAATGAGGGAGGAATAGGGTTGTAAACCCTACGAAGCAATAGTGTTTAATGTCTCTAGCAAGACGTTGGGCTCTTTTAGCCAGGATTGAAAGTCTGTTGTGCATCCCCTCCTTGACGGGGTAAATGGCACTTTGAATCCCGCCCAACAAATTGTTCCCTAAGGAACTTGTAGGATTTGAATCAAAGGAGATTGACGGTCTTTTGTCCATGCTATTCTTGGGCTTCCATGCCCTTTCAACACTAGCTTTGCACACATTTTTCTTTGAGCCCTTTTTGGTAAACAAACCATGGGAATGTCCAACATCAAGTAAATACTCAACTTTATCAAGTTCATTTTCAACACACTTCTCCACAACACACACTTCTTCATGCTTATCTATTGAATTCGGGGTTGGATTAAAAATGTTCAACTTTACTTTCATATGCCCAAATGATATTTTTATTTTCCCCGTCCTACAATTTATGTTGGCATTTGCGGTTGCCAAGAAAGGACGGCCAAGGATAATGGGAATTTGGCTCTTGGGATTTGAAACCGGTTCCGTGTCAATGACAACGAAATTAATGAGGAAGAAGAACTTATCAATCTTAATCAAAACATCCTCAATGATACACCAGGGCTTTTTAATGGATCGGTCGGCAAGTTGCAAAACCACCAACGTCAGTTTTAAGTCTCTTAAGCCCAATTTAACATATACCGAGTATGGAAGAAGGTTTACACTTACTCTTAAGTCTAAAAGAGCCCGATTAATGACATGGTCACCAATGATGCAAGAAGTAGTAGGTGAACTAGGGTCCTTAAACTTTAGGAGAGTGTTGTGTTGCAAGATGGAGCTCACTTGCTCGGTCAAGACCACTTTCTTTGGTACTTGGCTCTTGTTCTTCCTCTTTTGGGTGCAAAGATCTTTTAAAAACTTGGCATAAGTCGGAATTTACTTAATTGCATCCAAAAGTGGAAGATTGATCTTCACTTGCCTAAACACTTCAATTATTTCATTCACTTTGGTCTTTTGCTTTTCAAGAGAAATGAACCCTTTCAAGGCGTCCGGAAATGGAGCCTTTAGCTCAAAGTCTTTTTCAAAATCTTTTATCACAACATCTTCAACACAAGTATTCTTCAAACCATTGTTCAAATCACTTTTCAAATCATTTTTCAAAATTTTCTCACAAAGATGATCATGCACATGCAGTAAAGGAGGAATAGAATGTGAAATGGGATGGGTGTCAACTTTTGGTTGCACCGGTTCACTTTCTTCATTGGAAACACCAATTTAATTGTCCACAATTTTCCCACTTCTCAAGGTCATCACCGCATTGACATGTTCAATTGTGTGACCTTGATTAGTTTCTACAACAAATTGTTGCTTTGGTGGGGGTATTTAGAGGCATCTTCCCTTTCTCTCTAGCATTCAAGGTACTAGCTATTTGCCTGACTTAGGTTTCTAGCTTAGCAATAGATTAAAAGTGGGAATGAAGCAATTGAGTGTTTGCCTCCTAAGTACCCAAAGCGGTCAACACTTTTTCCTCAAAAGCGGGACTCCTAGAATTTCCTTGGGAATAAGATGATTGATTAAGAAAATGAGAATTAGAAAATTGGTTTCCATGTGATAATTGAAACGAAGATCTATAACTTTGGGAACCTTGGCTTTGCATTGGAGGCAGAACATACTTTCCTTGAAAACCACCTTAGGGAGGGTTTGAGCCTTCCCCTTGACTTTTCCAAGAGAAGTTTGGATGGTTCCTCCATCCAGGATGGTAATGTGAGCCATAAGGATTATTCCCTTGGTTGACAAATGCAGCATTAACTTGTTCATGATACTTACTTTGCGCATGTCCATGGGGACAATTGGAAGTAGTATGTAAGACAGTAGAACAAGTTATACAAGATTCATTAGATGCATGATGATGAACATGATTAGGGGAGGAAGACATTTGATTTACCGAATTATGGTTGACTAAAAATTAATCAAACTTTTGAGTTAAAGATTTCACCTCGGCGGCTATGTCATTTGAATTATCAACTTGATATAGGCCAACATTCTTTCTTCCACATAGAATTCTACTATTTTTAGAGGACAAAGATCTATGCATAGAATTTTCACTCATACTTTCATACAATTGCCAAACATCATTCTCATGTTTATCAAGGTAAGAACCACCCATAGATGCATCTACCATTCCTTTTTTATTATCCGGCAAACTTTCGAAGAAGTATTAGACTAATTGCCATTTATGAATGTCATGATGTGGACACTTCCTAAGCAAGTCATTAAATATTTCCCATGCCTCATGAAACAGTTCCCCTTCCCCTTGAGAACATTCACGAATGGAAGTTCTCATAGCATTGGTGTTTGATATCGGGTAGTACTTCTTCAAGAACTCTTGTTACATTTCTGCCCAAGAAGTTATCGAAAAAGGCCTAAGATTGTTGAACTAATATTTTGCTTTGCCTTTAAGGGTAAAAGGAAAAATTTTGAGTCTTAACACTTCTTCTGGCATGTCTGTGTATTTCACGGTGGAACACACTTCAAGAAACTCATCCAAATGCATGTACAATTCTTCATTTGGAAGTCCATGATAGTTAGGAAGCATTTGAATGGTTTGCGGTTTAATCTCATAGTGATGTGCTCTAAATGGGGGCAATTGAATGCATATCGGTGCATTGTATTCATTTGGAACATAATGATCACGCAAAGTAATAGGAGGATTCCCAGCCGGTGGTGCTAAACGAACACTGTGATTAACTTGAACCATGGGAGGTTGTAGAGCAAAAATTAGCCGAGGCATTCCAAATAAAATTTGGCCTTGTTGTTGCGGTGGGATGAATGGTCTAGGCATGCCTAATGGTACTTAAATGTTTTCATGATGCATATTAGGGTAGAGGATGCCTTGTTGGTCTATGTGACCAAGGTCCTCCACATGGTCATCATGTTGCTCCTCCATTGATGAAATGGAGTGATGAGAACTACCTCTTCCCCTAGGATTACGAACAACCGATTCAAGATGGAAATCAAGTGGGACAAGGGTAGGATTTAATGACCTACGACCATGCATGCACTAACAAAACAAATAACAATCAAATAGCAATCACTTCGCCCCCTCAACAAATCAATCAACAAATCTCCACATACAATGATCCCATACTCCCATGCTTGAACAATATGCAAAGAAAAGTAAATTGCCTCCATGCGGGCTCACGATCTATCTAAGAATTTAAGAACTTGCCACCACGCGGGCCGACGATTTAACTAAAGATTGAGTTAAAAAGATCTCACAAAGGGTCCTTAAGCAACTTCAATTTATTTTTCAATTTTCCGCTTATTTT